TATATATATATATATATATATCACATATATATATATAAACATACTTTCTAGCATGAATTCAAGAAATGATATATGATATTTAGCTTTTTTTCAGCAATCTTTGTTGAATTTCTTTTTTTAAAATAAGTCATATTTATGTTTAAAATGATTTGATAAGATATGATATGATTTTCTAGTGATAGGTTGCAGCTGGAAGAGCACCTGCTGCGTAAAACATATGCTATATAAGCATTCTGCTGTGGCGACCCCAGATTAACAAAAGGACTAAGCCAAAAAGAAAATTAATGAATAATATGATATGATATGATATATGATACAATACAACACAACACAATATAATATGTGATGTTGAAGCTCAAAACCCATAATATATATATTTTTAATTGAGACTACAGTCAAAAAACTATGGAAGTCAATAGTTACCAGTTTTCAACATTCTTCAAAATATCTCTTTTTGTGTTCAAAAAAGTGGAGGTCGAGTAAAATGATGACAGAACTTTCAATTTTGGGTGAATTATCCCTTTTACTTAAACAAGTACAGGTTTTGATGTCAAAAACATATTACTGGTTTACATATACTATAAAAATAAGCTTATCATAAAGTTGATACGACTAAGGTGGTTAATTTAACATTTATTAATTAGAAAAAAGTAGCACATTTATTGCAATGATTGTTTTATCCTTTCTTTATTAGAGAAAGCCAACCCTGAATGTCACTAATTTGATTGCAGTTTGTACATGACTGAAAGGTCTGAACACTGTTTATGTGAGATGAGATGAGTTATTTGTCATTTGAGAGTCAGTCAGCCATAACCTTATGGCAGCTCAAACCGTCTGTGAAATTTTATGAAGGCATCACAGCTTGGTGGCATGCAAATCACATCTTAATTTGACTACATTGTATATAGTTATTAAATACACTTTCAAATATTACATTACATTTGATTACATTCATTCATTCATTAACTTTGTCGCATTCATTACCTTCAGTCGCTTTATTCATCAGGGGTCACCACAGCGGAATGAACCACCAACTATTCCAGCATAAGTTTTACTCAGTGGATGCCTTTACAGCAGCAACCCAGTACTGGTAAACATCCTTACACACTCATTCACACACATACAGTACACTATAGACAATTTAGTTTAATTGATTCTCCAATAGTGCATATGTTTGGACTGTGGAAGAAACCCACGCCAACATGAGGAGAACATGCAAATTCCACACAGAAATGCCAACTGACCCAGCCCAGGACTCGAATCAGCAACCTTCTTGCTGTGAGGTGACAGTGCTAACCACTGAGCCANCATGTCAACCCTTGGGAAAAAAATATTCAAATTNTAATAAACCAATTAATTTTTCTTTTAGTATAAACCAGGAGTGTCCAAACTCGATCCTGGAGGGCCGGTGTTCTGCATATTTTAGTTCCGACCCCATTTAAACATACCTGAACCAGCTGATCAAGCTCTTTCTAGGTATACTAGACACTTCCAGGAAGGTGTGTTGAAAAAAGTTGGAGCTAAAGTGTGCTGGTCACCGGCCCTCCAGGACCGAGTTTAAACACCCCTGGTATAAACTGCTGATTATTCACCTTTGTTACTTTGTTACTGTTACTTCACTTCTTCCAGTTATTTGGGGGGATAGTTCTTTTAATAAACCAAACATTTTAGAAAAATATTTTAATAAACCAATCTATTTTTCTATTAGTATATACAAACTGCCGAATGAGTTATTCACCCAAGTATTTTACACCATAACAGAGTCTTTAAAGACAATTTGCGTAAAACTCACCTCAAAATCTTGGTATTGTTCTTCCGTCAGGGATTTTTTGGCCACCACCAGCACCCTCAAGCCTTCCCTGGCCATATTCCCACACTGATAAACAGAGCAGAGAGCAAATTCCCAACGTACAGCTCATCAAAATATCTTGGCATGAGCACTGCGTCAATACAAAGTCAGTTTGTGTTTTTGTTTACTGGTCAAAGAAATATGAAATTACCTCCTCTTCTAGCCAATCGTTGTACTGAACAATGCCGGCCATCACTACATCAGCACCCTTCATGTAAAACGTGATCTCGCCTGTAGATTCATCCTAGCAAACATAAACAGGATAAGTGTGTTATGCTTCAGTTATGTTTCCAACCATTATTTTTTATGCACATTTTGATTAATGCTTTTAAAGCAATGTTATAATCCGAAAAGCCTTTAAAAAAATCCAAAACCTTCATTACATAGTGTATAAAACATTTGCCTAACTACAGGCAAACTGTTACTTTTTTGAATGGATATTCTTATGTGCACACACTATCTAAAAATATAAATTCATATGCAATTAATCTGACTATATAATTCTTTTAAAAAATATGCTTTAAAACCCAAATTATTTTGGTAAATCATTAAAAAAATATTCTTAATATCTGTGTTTGTATTTTTTTATATAATTCACTGTTTTCTATTATTCTTAAATAAATTGGATGAAAAATATTACCACAAAAAAACATAGATTTTCAACATTCAACACTATTTTCAACATTGATCATAATGATGAATATTTATTAAGCATCAATTCATTCATTAATTATGATTTCCTAAGGATCATATGACAAGGGTGTAATGATGCTGAAAATTCATCAATGAATCACAGAAATAAATTACATTATTAATTACCGATGCTGTAAATCATATTTATAAGACTAGAGGATGTGCAAATAAATTATGATGGAAACATTATATATATATATATATATATATATATATATATATATATATATATATATATATATATATATATATATATATATATATATATATATATATATATATATATATATATATATATATATATATATATATATATATATATATATATATATATATATATATATATATATATATATATATATATATATATATATATATATATATATATATATATATATATATATATATATATATATATATATATATATATATATATATATATATATATATATATATATATATGTATGTGTATATATATATATATATATATGTGTGTATATATATATATATATATATATATATATATATAT